ACTTTTAGCAAACTTATAAATATAGATATATATATATATATATATAATTTTTGATGTATAAATTATTAAAATAATTTAAAAATATTTATAGTGGATAAAGAAGAGTTACGAGCTGATAAAGCTGTAAAAGTTTCACGCAAGGAATTAAATGATTTGATTGCAGAATTATTTGAGTTTACAGATACATATTCTAAACAAGAACAAGAAAGTTCAAAAAAGAAAAAATCTTTAGAAAATACAAATTTTCCACAAATACAAATTGGAAATGATATTGTGGTAAGATAAAAATGTAATTTCTATATTATAAATAAATATAATTTTAATTAGTAAAATAATTTTTAATTAGCATTCTATTACGTTTTTAATTATGGAATTTAGAATGAATCTGTAACAGATATATTATCTACTTACAAAGAAACTGACCATTCCAATTTAATAAATCCAAATCAAAAAGAATTATTAGCAGTTCAATTTCGTCAACATGTTCAATTAATGGTGCAACATTTTGCTATGACATATATGCATCCAGATTTACATTCTCAATCACAAACATGTAAACAAAATTTAAATAGTATAAAGTGAGTTTATAAAACAATAATTCATAAATTATGAATGTATTAAATAAATAATTTAATAAATTTATATTATTTGTATTAGATATTTAAGTAATGGACCTAATTCTGCATTTAATGTGATAAATTTACCAGATGCTTTAAAACTAATATTTGATTGGGAAAAAAAATTTTTGGATAATGAATTTTCTGAAGATTTTAAAAAGACTCTTATAGATGAAGATCCAATAAAGAAAATATATCTTGTACAAAAACATAAAGGTGCATCTATTTTTCATCCAGAATTAAAAAAACTATTTATGGAAAGTAAAGCTTTAATGTATCCACAACTTTTACCTGAAATACCATTTAGACCTGAATCAATTAAATTTGTACGACTTCCATATTTAAAATCTGAAGAAAAGTAAGTATATAATATATGTATATTACAAAGAATGTGATATATTTTTTGAATATATATTTATTTTTTCAGTTTAATTGCATTAGGTTTGGAACAATTTCTTCCTTTTGTTGCATCTAAACCAAGAAAATTTAAGAGTAAAAAACTTCAATTAATTGATGCAGTACAATTAATTATTCAATATTTAATACCATGTAGAGAACCTCATGGATTAATATATCATATTCGGAAACGTCGATGCGCAAAACATGCAAATCCAATAAAAGTAAATAATATATCTATAAATATAAATATATGCATAAATAATATATAATAAATGAAAAAGATATGTTTATTATAATAAAATTTGATTAAATAAATATTTCTACAGCATTATTTCGAAAAAGGTTCTGCTCCAAGAACAATACATTACATTACATTGGAATGTGATCTCAAAGCTCCAAAAGATCAATCAATAAATCTATTACCTTCAGTATGGCAGACTTATCTTAGTAATGTAAATATTTAATATATTTATTTTTAATATTATAATATATTATAATATATTATAATACATATAATAACATTTCATTTATTTATATAGACACACACAGAACAAAAAGTTGATGTATTAAAACGAAAATATATACTTAATTCACATAATGATGTTATGAAAAAAGATTGTTTTACAAATGGAAATAGAAATCATATTTCTAATACTGTTCTGTTATACAATTCATCTATTAATATATTACCAAAAATATTACCTGCAAATCAGAAGATAAGTAAAAATATATCAAAAGACAATTTGTGTTTAAATGAAAATTCTAATTCTAAAATTTTGAAAAATATTTCAAATAATGGAACTAATATTGAATTACATAATATACATACATTAAATAAAGAGCGTAACAATTCTTTAAAAATCATGACATCACAAGAAAAAAAAGAGAAAAAGATAGATGGAAATGAATTTAAAAAAATTCAAAATGATACAAATCTTATATCAACACACTCGAAATTTCGTAAAAAATCTTCTGAAATAGTACAAGAATTACCACAATTACGAAAAACTACACCTAGATTAGCAAAAACAAGAAGTGCTCAAAACATGAAATTAATGGCTCAAGTTTTAGGACCAAAAGCTTTATCATCTAATAATAATACTTTAAAGTCTAGAGAAAAAAATGAAATAGATACAAATTTAGAAAAAATATCAACTTTACCTAAGATAGTGAGTAAAATTATAACTTTCCAATAAAATAAAATAAATAACATTTGTAATTTAAATTTTATTACAGGATAATGAAGATGAAATAGCAGAATTAATGTTAGCTAGTACAACAATTAAGAAAGATTCTATTAGTAGAAAGAAAGCAAAAGAAGCTAGAGAATTAGAAAATATTAAAAGACTTTTAGAATCTGAAAATCCACTAAATGAAGAAGAAAGAGGTTCAAGTACATATCTTTTTTTCTTTTTCTCGCTATGTAATAATTTAACAATATACATTCAAATTAATTTTAAATAACTTATATTATCTTATATAGAATTTGCAGCATCATATCTTCAAAAATTACATTTAACATTAGAATCTAATAATCCAACAACATTACGATCTATTATAAAATTATATTTAGATTATTATGAAAAATTAGATAATATTAATCAGATGGAGAATGAATTATCATTTTCTCGATCAAGATGTTCTCAAAATGAACAAATTATGGAAAAAACTGCAAAAGATAAAGATACAATAACTATCAATTTGTATCAAGATGTATGTGAAAAATTACGAGAATATCCTGAACTTTGTACAGATTTTTTATTGTTTTTAAAACCACATCAAGCTGCAATGATAGATAAGTCAGTGGAATATATAATGCTTCAAAAGATGAACGAATTTGTTAATGTAGCTCAAATATATTTTGCTAAACAACCTTCTCGAATAGCAAAAATGATGCAAGCTATTACACAGCTTTCATCTGATACACAGATAACATTAGAACATATTCATGCGACTATGGGCCCTATACTTAAGGGACATCCTTTAGTTATGGATTTATTTTTACAAATATTACCTACTGCTAAACCACCAGACAGGTAACACAATATTATTATTAATTATATATATATATAAATTTAATTAATAAATTTATAAATATTTAATTGTATATTTAATTATTTTGTAGTTTATTTGCATCACATATGTTTGAAAATTTAACATGCCCAGTAGGACCACATGATAAAAGTAAAATTTATACTGAAGATGCACCTGAATTATATGAAAATATAGAATTACCAGTATTATCACTTCAAGAAGATCCTTATGGTGGAGAAAATTGCAAGTGTAATTGTCACAATGGTGATGAAACCACTTGTAAGAATATTTCTGAACATTGCATTTCTTGTGGTACAAGGGTATGTCATATTTTTTCTTATCTTAATTTTTTAATAAAAATTATATATTTTTATATATTTATTATATATTTTATATATTATTTTTTATATACATTATTTGAAATTGTTTAATAAATTTTCATCATAAAAATTTTAAATATATATTTAAAAAATGAACAGTTTTTAAATGGAAAAATTTATCTTCAAACATCTGAAGGCCTAAGACCTGCAAAAATTATTTTTCCTGGAGCTGATGAAGAAAAATTGGAAAATATTGCTCGTGTATCTTTAAAAATTACTGATAAATTTACTTCATCTATTTCATCTAAACAACGAAGAAAATCTTCGAAAAATGAATTTCATAGTGATGAACAATCTTGTTTATCAAAAAGTTTACCTATTAAAGAAAATGAAGATGGAGAAAAGTTAATTGTAAAATCTAAAAAAACTATAAAATCTCCATCAAAATCAACAGATCAGAAAAAAAATTTAAAAAGATCTGGAAATGAAATAAATCACATAAAGAATAGAAATACAAAAAAAATACGCATATCCCAATGTAAAAATAAAAGAAAAAATAAAGTTGACAAATTAGAAGCAAAATTAGAATATGTAGATTCAAATGTTAATCATATAAAATCAAATAAATATTTATCTATTGACTATAAAAATTCTGATAAAAAAACATTAGTGAAAAATATAGAAATTGAAATGTCGAATGATAATATAAGAAAAATTGATTCAAATTGTGAAATAAAAAATATTAATTTAAATACAAATGTAAATATTAAATCATGGACACGACAAGAAGATATGATTCTGTTACAAGCTATTAAAAAAGAATATTCTGAAAATTCACTTGCCATGGTTAGTAAAATACTAGGGAATCGTACAATTGACCAAGTAAGTAAAATTATATGCTGTATAATTTATAATTTTTTAAATATCTTTAATATATAAATAAGATCTTTTGTATATTTTTGTAATAATATTTTTGTCTAATGTATATTTTTTTATAGGTTAAAGAAAGATGTGAAACTCTTCTTTCTTTATTAGAAAAAATGATGTAATTGTATTAGAAAAAAAGAAATATATATATATAGTTGTTTATTGTTGATAACTTGATAAATTGGCAAGAACAAAGAGAGTACTTTTTTCTTTTGCTACAATGATCTTAAGTTATCAGTTCTTCATATAAGTATTTAAATGTATATACTTATTGTAATTATTATTGATAAATTGAATAAATCGAAAATAATATGATCTAATTGATTAATTTCGATAGATCTAAAATTCATTCATAAAAATATATATATTGATCGAAAATCTTCAAATAAAATCATACAATATTAATTGTATATGATGAGCAATAGAAAAGTATTAAATGGAAAATATTCTCATTCTGTCATCTTGCTAATCAACTTGTTATTTTTGCGATATATATACATACGNTATAAATTTTTAAATATTTATGAAATATTTAAATATTTTAATTATAATGAAAATATTAAAATATTTCTTTTATAATATAAACTATTTATTTCTATTTTTATAATAAATTTATTTTTATTTTTATTAATTATATTTTTTAATATAAGATATTTTATAAACATTAGCAAAATATATAATATTTATACTTGGAATTTTAATTTTAAATTTAAATTTTATTTAAATTTAAATATTTTCTTTTATTTTTATTTTCATTTTTATTTTTATTTTAATTTTTACAGAAGAAAGAAAAACAATTGGCTCTATATGAGATAAATTGCTATCATTCATTATGTACAAAAATATATTTCATAGGTTTGTATTTGAATTTATGAAATATTAAAGTTACATAACAATATAATATTAATATACAAACATAATGTTAATATGATAAAAAGAGTAATATTTATAAATTGACTATTTTTTACTAATATAATATATAGAACAATTGCTATTGCATTTCACAAATTATATATCTATATTTATACAATATACATATATACAAAATTCATTTACAAAAAGATTTACATTACAAATTTATTTAATCGTATTTATATTATTTCATAATAATTTATAATTAA